AGAGCATTCCAAGTATTTGCAACCCGATTGTTGAAAAAGTCGAACGAGGCAGTTGCTTTTAAAATTCGCGATGAAAGCGTTTGCGATGACCATAGATGGAAGGAATGTATATTGGGTCAATATGCCAGTTGATTAGTTAAGTTTTATTTTAAATTTTGAATTTTTGGATAAGGTCACCAAGACTTTTACATCTTTTCTATATATATATATATATATATATATATCATCTTGACTTTTTTACCAATAAGTTCTAAATATAAAAAAAATATTTCTGTTTTATAATTATTAAAATTTTCTTTTTTTTATTTATCAAAATTACCATTTAAATATTTTTGTAGTAAATACAGTTTCATAATAAATAAAGTTTTATGCTAAATAAAGTTTATTTCCTTTTTCTTTTTTTTTATAGGTTTATGTATATCTTTTTACAATTTGTATTTTGATGGTGGGATTTAAGGATACATTTAATTGTTTTGACCGAAAGGAATAGATTAATATATCATACTTAGTTTGTTAAACTCATGATGAATTGATTCACCTCCTTGTTCATTGTACAAACCAAACCCAGCATCAAAATGTTTGTGAAAAACTAGTGCTAGTGTCTATTGGTCTATTTTAGCCTGGGTCTGGCAATACTACATACTTGCACATATGTGTAAATATCCTATTATACATTAAGTAATACAGTATAATAATATATTAAGTACGGACATTATACTGTATCTTATTTTACAGTAATATCCAACATGTGTGGGCATTATTTTGAACTATAAATATATTTATTATAACTATTTTTTTCCAATATTAATTTATATGTTGTAGTATACATTAGATACTACAAAATTTCCTCTATTTATGGTGATTTCGGTTGTTGCTTTAACTTTTTTTCGATAAAAAAAAATATATTTTTGGTCTTCCAACTATGCCTTAATAATTTAAGTTTTTTTTTTGTAATTATATAATATAATTATAAAAAGAAAAAACATATTTTTTTCTATCACGGTATAGCGATATATGACGTTTCCCTGATATAATTTAATGCGTTTTATTTCTTCTTATGCATAAGAACAGAAGTATATTTTCAAATAGAAAAAACGTTGAAGCAGCAGCCAAAAAATACCCACATATAGAGGAATTATAATTGTTAAATTAAAAAATTTTTTTTTGAACTACTAAGGTAAGAAGTTGAGAAAATCGATTTTGAAAAAATAAACAAATTACTGACTCATACTAAAATAGCATTAAAGGAAACTGAAGGTTTAATATCCACTGATTTACTTTAATTATTTATTTTAATCAATTATTTTTGTTGCTAGTTTGTTAAGGTGGTACACAACTGAAAACAAGTTTTTTTGAAATAATCAAATTTTTGAGTTTCTTTTTTTTTTAATGAGAATAAATTTGTATTAAAATAAAATAAAAAACAGCTAAATTTTTTTTTTTAATTTTATTATCCATAATGGCCAAAAATGTGCTGTAAAACGCATGCTTTTAGTAAATCTTCAAAATATAATTACTTGATTTTGCCTCAACAACTGAAACTAAAATTTTGAACATAGCTTTCTAATCATATTTCACCCTGCGTAACCGTGGGATTTTTTATGATTCAAATTATTTCATGAAATATAGCATTTTTAACAAAATTACCTAATATGTTTATATATGAAATATCAATAAAGCCAGCACTTTAAACATCAATATTTTACTTTCTATAGGTTTTCCTGCAAATTCTGAAGGTTAAATGAAGTATTATTTTATGATAAACAAATCCTGAAAATTTTATTATGTAATGAAAAAATGTGTTTCAAAGTTTCAAAAAATACATAATCTGGTTTTGTCAACTTTACTTGACGAAGCTAATGTAACAATTCCATTCAAGCCAAAGTAGTTTAAAACTTCAAATACACCATTAGCACCATCATTATAATGCAGCACTGCTGAGTATGTTCTCAAGACTTACTAACAAATGTGTGCTTTGGTACGCAAGACCATATTAAATTTTTGGTACGCGAGAACATATATAATTGAATTTAATGCTTCAAAGTAATGGCTAAAAGCAGTTGTTGCATGCAGTTTCAGCTATCAGTTCTTTAAGAATTGAAAAGTTAATAAAAACAAAATAATTATCTTTTTCAGAGTCAAATGTATTCAAATAGTTGAGTTAGATTTTCCTTTCACTAGAACAGCTACTAGCTGCTTGAGTTGTGGACGATGATGAGATAGAGAAAGAAGATGATTTTTTTATTTCCAACAACACCATTCCATTTTCGTTTTATTCTTCTTGGTAAATTTCGTTTACTTTTATTTCATTGTTTATTCGTTTAAAAATAACTTTATCCAACTAAATTGAAATCACTTTTAAAATTATTTGGTCCAAAATGAGAGAAAAGTTACAGTATAAAAGACTAAAACTTAAACAGACCAAAACACTCCTGTTCTTAAATTAAGTGTTGAAATACGGCTTTTAAAACGGAAAACTAACAAGAGTCTGCATATAACACGTTTGTGATGGTATATTTTACTGTTTTGAATTCATAAAAACTCATATGACTGATGGTTGCTACGGAGTTGTTAGGTAATTTATTTTCAACTGTCATGTACTAAAATGATATTAAATCAACTTTTATATAATTTTTGAGACTAATTTTTTTCTTATATGTTTATGAATGATTATAGAATCAAATTACCGAAAAATATAAAAATTGATATTTTTCAAAAAACTGGCTTATTTTCAGTTGTGTGTCACCTTAACGGAAAATAGTTATTTTCAGTTAACAAACCAGCAACAAAAAGGTTGTCATATAAAATGTTCGCTGTAGTTAAGGACCGCAATCATTTTTAAAGTTATGAACTTTTTCAAATTAATTGTTGCATGGGTACCCAAACAGCGCTTTTTCCTAATATCAAAATGACTGTGACCTGCTTATATTGGATCCATAAGTGTGAAACAGTAAATCACGTTTTTTAGTTTACGCTCACTCTGCTTGATAAATTGATTTTCCTGTTTAATCAGATTTTCTTATATTGCTGTTCCTCCTAATATGTTCTAATCTATATTTCAGGATCTTTTTATATATTAGTTGTTATTATAAAAAAGTTATGAATTATGTATTATTATAATTTAATATTCATTTTTTTGGTTAAAAAAAGCCGTTTCTCAATAAATATTTTTTAGTAAGAAACAACTTTTCTAGAAGCCAGGTTTTCGAAAATGTTATAACTCACTGCGAAACCAACATAAAATGATAAAAATATGGACTGTAAAAATATATTACATGCAAATATGTTTTTACTTATGAAAGTACGCCTTGGAGGAAAATCATCAAATAAAAGTTTGAAAGTAACCGTTTTAAAACATTAAACCACACTTAACTTAGAAACTTAAAGATTAGGATCGAATGAACCGCTCTGCATCCAGTTTTTTAAGCTAAAAAAAACTGTTAACTAACCGGTTACCTACTACAGTTGAATTGATTTTATACCATGTTACTACAGAAGTAGCCAGATTATTATTTCACTTTAAAAAAGTCAATTTATTGCAGAAATTTTATAACAAAATAAAAAACTGGCTACCTCTGTAGTAACATGGTCCAGTCCATCAGTCTTTACGGACACAAAAAAAAAATGATCCAATCATTTTTTGTACTTTTTAATTTATAAAACGTATCATTCATTTGATATGCAAAAAAATTGAAGAAATTTTGAAATGATTTTATGTAATATAAAGGTTTAGGGAAAACCCGGGTTTTTTTACCCCTTAAAATCCCGCACTTGAAAGGCAATATCAAAAAAAAAAATTTTTTTTTAATTTATGCCATCATGCCATCTTCGGTTAAAAATGTTTACAATCGGAATTTTTTATTTAGTAAAGTCCTATTTCCACTTTGCGATTTAAAGTGCCCTAAAGATTACCGTGTAACCGCTTTCTTTCTTAAATCTTAGAATAACTAAATGACCATTTCTTTTTAACTCGAGTTATAACTACCAACATTGTCAATTTTAACTTGAGAATTAAGGATTGTTCTAAATAGAAAAAGGTTAGAGTTAACATAAACTAATGACCTAGTAACTAATTAAACTAGATAATTTTTTGAAAAGAATAGTAAAAAATAGTCTAAAGAAAACAACTGATTTTAATTTTAACAGTAAATAAAAAATTCAAGGAATTGTAAACATTCGTCCATTATAATGGTTTGTTGAGGGCTTAGTGAGAACGAAAAACAAAAACTTTAATTAGTAACGGAGTGAAGTTTTTATTAACAAAACATTTTTACAGCTAATTAGAAAGAATCATTCTAGCTGTCTAAAGAACTAAACTTCAAAAGACAGAACCAAAACGTCGAGATCTAATTGCAAATTAGATTTTTAACGAACTTACTCAATATAGACAAACACTAGATTAAAACGAATTCTGAAAATTCTTGTTAATAAATGGTTTGTGTAAAAGATAGTTTAAAACATTTGCATTTCATATAAGAGACGAGGATTTTCAAATAAACTTTATTACTACGTAAAAAAAAATCTCAAAATACGCCCATTTGGCCCAAAGTGCATTAAAAAATTAAAATTTTTTTTTAAAGAAATATATAATTTTATAGCTGTCTAAAAAACAACAACGACAACTATTTGATTTAATATCGAAATAGATTTCTGATTAAAGCAACAAAATAATCTTGTTTTTACAGAGGTTAGGATATTAATCCTTGCGCGTTATCTCAGATATAAATATATAGTCGATTAGTTGATTAAAAAAAGGCCTGTAGCTGGTATAAAGTAAAAATCCAAAATCTAATTATTTACAAGTCTTTCGCTCAAGCTTTTCAACCAATAGCTTAATAAGATTTAACTTTTTGAATTTGCAACTCCAGTAGGTACAAATAACATCATCAGCAAATGGTACTTTCGTGTAGCAAAATAACGATTTTTCTGTAGAAAAAAGGGAATATTTTAAATTTATACTTTGAGCATAAAAAATAATAATAAAAAAAACCCATGCTCACCATGAAAATTAAACAAATGAGTTCATTTTTCCTCCAGTTTGCTCTTGGTATACTTCTATAACATCAGACTCCTCCATTTCTAACTAAATTAGAACAAATTTTTAAAACTTTTGTGACATTAACACACAAAAAATAAATAATGATGATACTATATATATATATATATATATATATATATATATATATATATATATATATATATATATATATATATATATATATATATATATATATATATATATATATATATATATATATATATATATATATATATATATATATATATATATACACACACACACACACACACACAAACATTCAGGTTAGCCTAAAAAATGATTGTTATAATTGTTTTTTATGATGCATTTTTTGATTTAAGATGCGTTTTTTTAGCATGCACATTACTTTAAACCCTAGCTTCAAATTGTAAAAACAAAGAAAAATAGAAAATCGCATACAGAAATGGAAATGCCCACCAGGAATTAACTGTATATAAATAGATATACACATACAATTGTCATTGGGAAAGCAATGCAAAACAAATATTTAAATTGTCAGCTATGATAAAAAGAAAAAAAAAAATTTGATCAGCATTAATTCCTTTAGACTGTTATGATTAGCGGTTGTTTTTTAATAACTACATCATACTTTATCATGCTTTTATTTTCTAGTTTCATCTTATGATTTATAAAATGTCTTTAATCAAAACATCAACTAATAATTTTAAAAAATATACTAATTCCAATCTTATGCATACTAATACTTGTTTTAACTTGATTCTTATGCATAATAGTACCTGTTTTGATTTGTTTTTTTTCTATAATTCAATTATTGTTTTTTTATATGTAAATACTTTTTAAAAAAGCTTTACTTATTAGAATATTTTTAAAAGAAAAACTCCACATAGACTTGTATTCTAATTTCCATTCATTACCTCTTGGAACTCCATAATATGCCTTGCTTATAATTGTATATTCTTAATTTGTTTAACTTTTTCTATACTAGTTATATTTATTAACATTAAGCAGGGATGCAGAGTCCCAAAAGGACTCCGGCTTTATATCTCTACTTTTCTTAAGTCTGTAGTGTCCAGAAGCTCTAAACATTCTTGCTGACTTGTGATCTGCTATAAGAAAAAAATTCATGAGATTTAATGACTTGAAAATTATTGTTTTTAAGCCCTGAGTATTGGAGTCCTTGCCGCCATTATGCATAAGGACTCTGGGTTCAAAAAACGATTGTTCCTCTAACCTAAAAGTTTGAATTTTTTTCCTAATAGCAGTCCATAAACTTATTTATATTTTTAAAGCTCCTGAATACCAAAAACTAGGATAAAATAATCTTTTTGTGACTTTCAAATTAGGAGTCCTTTTTAGGACTCTGCATCCCTGTCATTAATGTATTTATTACTCACTTATCTTTATTTATTATCGTAATTTTTAAAAACAATTAGCCACATACATCTTTTTTATTAGACAAAACCTATACCTGCTTTGGTGACATTTCATCAGAAATCCGTTGTCCATCAAACAAAAATCTCAATGAATTCAATGGAACTCCCTTAAGTAAAAAAGAACGAAACAATCAGAGCATTTATTTAACAAAAATCAAACTTCAAAAATAATCATTAATAGCTTTAATAAAACAAAAAATTTAAAAATACAACTCTCTATATATACATATACACAGTAAATTTTGAAAGTAGAAAATACAAATCATTTTAGAAGTAGACTCATATATTTGACTCAAAATTAAAATTTAATCTAAAAGTCTTAAAAAATCTTATATACATTTACATAAAGATTATATTTTCTTATGTACATAAAAAATAAAAAAATAAAAACATGGAAAATCTCAATAACTTTTTTTTTAGATATTCACAAGGACAACAGTTTTTTGTAGATCATTAAACTTTCATAAACTCTCAGAGTAATAAGTTAAATCCAATAAGAACTCAATACAAAAAAAAAAAAAAAAATCGTTTTAATTTATGGTAAAAAAAATAAAAAAAATAAATTTTTTTTTGTTAACTTTTAAGACTTAAAGATGTTATTACAATGTGTTATAAATATAAAACGATTTAAATAATAAACTATTTTTTTATGTAGGCCACTTTTTATCAGTTTTTAGGTAGGCTCTCTTGTCAAACCGTTATTCCGACGCTGTCCTCAAGGTCCGAAAATGTAAAAAAACGACTTTTTTTATTTAAAAGAGAATCTGCCTACTCCAAACCCTCAGTCGTTGTTTCCACACTCCGCTGCATGCTCTCTCTAAAAATAAGTCGGTGTATGTGCACACTGCAGCGCAAATCCCTATATACCCCATTTCGCCTATTTTCTAGAAATACAAGCTCGCGGACGCAAAGAACGCTCAACGTCGGAATAGGGGTTTGACAAGAGAGCCTACCCAGTTTTTAAAGTTAAACAAGTATTAAGATATCATTTAAGCAGTAATATAAAAGAAATAATTAAATTTATAAAAACCACTTATGAAGTTTAAAAGACGATTAAATAAAAGTTTTAATGACAATTACATTTGATATTAGCTGATTACAAATATAAGTTTTTATTTTTATTAATATAACTTTCACATCAAAAATGTTTACCAAAAAACAACAACATAAAAAAGTTGTTAAGATTTTTGAAAAAAGGAATCGTAGAAGAAATTTAATAAAAAAAACATCTTTATCATTTTGCAAGTGCAAGAATATTTAGAAAATTTCTCATTATGATAACTTGCCCACAACTATTAAGAAATTTTGATGGTTTAAACATTTCAAAAATGTGCTGAAAAAATAAATGCCAAGCTAAATTTGAACTAGAAAGTAAATTATAAAATTAAAAAAAAAAGAAATCCTTCCGAAAAGAAAATATATAAGTACTATATTAAAATTCAAACTCAAAGAGAAAATTACTTTTTGGTTACATTTTTAATTGCATTTGAAATAAGTTACTTAAAAAACTCATCTTTCAAAATGTATTAGTTACGCAAAATGCTTTTGCTTAATTACTGCTAAAGATTGTTTAATAAATGAACAAATTTCATTATTAAAAAGTATTATATAATTTTAAAAAGCATCAACATTTATTTTTTTCTAAAAAATTGCAAAAAAATAAATAAATTGTTTTTCAGCATAGTCTATTTCAAATAGTAATTTTTAATCATTTCATGTTCTGATTTAGTAAGTCAAGTTAAAATAAAAAGAAAAGGTTTTAAACAATTCTTTGTAAAAATAGAAAAATAAAATAAAAAAATAAAGCAGTTAAATCATTTGATTGCAATGGGAAGATTTAATATAAAAAATTATATTAAAAATTAAAAAACACATAAAAAATTTTTAACTAAAAAACTGTAAAAACATATACTTTTAATTTTTATTTTAAAAATGTCATTTTATAGGCAGTAAAACCTAAAATAATTTTTTTAAATAAATTGATGACTATTTTTGAAATTTTATTTCACCATATTAAAATTTTTTTAATAGTAATCAATTAAAGGATTTTAAGGGAATAAATGAAACAGTTAGATATAACAAGTTTGAGTTAACCGGTGTTTGACTTACCCAGAATTAACTGTATTTTTTTTAATAAATCATTCGAGGAGCTTTTTTAAACAATAAACTAATAGTTTAAATAAAATAATTTAATAACTCAAAATGTATTTTATCAACATAAAAAATTACGGAACTCAATGGATTTATTTACAATAAAAAGTGCTCAAATATACCTGCCTGTCAGCATATGCTTGCTTTAATTTCCTTAGTTGAGTAGTTTTTTTTATTTTAAAGTGAACTTCAGAGTTGTCCTAAAATAAAACAATTGATTAGAATACTAGTAAAGTTAATATATATATATCAAAGCTCAATTTAACAGTCGGATATCGTCGCCCGATGGACTGTTTTTGAGATCTGATTTATGGGGGCAACCAACGATTGTTGCCCCCGTAAATCAGATCTTAACAAACAAAAAACAAAAAAAAAGTAGCCTCCTCGACTGTAGTGGCTCCCTCGGGCCTTGGGAAGGTGGGAAAAAAAAAAACAAAAAACAAAAAACAGTATATGGGGGCAACTGAAAAAATCAACAATAATTTGTTACTCTCCTCTAGCAGGTATCAAGAATGGTCTAAGGGGCGGCAATGTCGACCATTAAATTGAGCCCTGTATATATATAATTAAAATTTATTATATTAAAAACACATAAACTTGAGATTTCATTGAAATAATAAAAATGACCAAACAAGAGTGTGTTATATATATAATTTTAAAACTTACCACATTGAGGTAGTTCAAAACTGTTATATTAAAAGTATATTTATTAATACCTTATATTTATTAACATTTATTATAACAAATAAATATACATATTATAATTTATTTTAAAAGAGCTCATTTGTAATTCTATTACTATAAACTGTAGTATTTTTTAAAAAGAAAATACTATGAATATTTTGATTGCTTGGAATAATAAGTGGATCAAGCCAGAAATTAGAAAACACCAAACCCCAATTGTAATAATCTTGTACATAGGTGACAAAATATATCTTGATCTTTAGATCTGTTTAAATCTATCCAAACAGCTCTAAATGCAGCCATAGCCATACTGTAATTAATAGAAACCACATTTTTTTTATTTTCAATTTAACAAAATGAAAGGAAAAAACTTAACTTTCAAAGTAATAAATTTAAACAAATTTGACCATTTTTTTCTGTTTAAGAAAAGACCACTCTCCAATTCTTTGTAATAACTCTAACTAAACTATTCAGAACAACATCTAAAAAAATATAATTAAAAAAAAAAAAAAAACTCGCATAAGTAAAATTGCAATAGGGGTCAAAATTACAGTTGCTTATTCTTAAATACTTTAAGTTGTTTTATTGGATTCCTTGCCTCAAAATATGTAAGTGTACATATTTTCAGCTTTCCATTGCACACAGAAACAATGACCAAAACCATTTTTCAAAATGGCGGATTTTTGTTGGTTCAAGGAAAAATTGTGAAGAGTCATATTAAAACCGTTTGGAATTGGATGACAAAATTTTGTAAGTGCTCATAACTTATTAAAATCTTTGAGTGGGGCAAAAATCAGCAAAATCTGAGTCTTAGGGTTGCATGCCCTAGATGTTTTCAAATGGAATTGCCCGTATAGTAAAAATAATAATTTAAAATATTTAATTAACTAGATATGCTGTTAGCAAGATACAAAGATAAATTAAATTAAACAGATACAGAGAAATTTTTAAAAATGTTTTTAAAAAATTACTTACAGCACCAACAACTTTTAAGTTAATATGATTTTCATCACCTTTGCTTTCCTAGAAAAAAGTAAGAAAAACAATTATTAAAAATAATAGTTTATGTATTAGTTAATTACATGATTAACTTTAAAAACCTTGATTAAAAATATATAATTGTTTTATGACTTTTGAGGTATTTTAACTTTTCTAATAATTTACAATAAAAAAATTGGCAATGCACAATTTGCTTTGTCTAATTTATAATAATAAAATATTAATAGGGATAGGGTAATGGGCATTTAGAGGCTTGGTAATAAAACAAACAAACAACAAGAAATTTATTTTCCTCAAAATTTATAATCATCTAATTACAATAATATAATAATAATATTAATAGTAATAATAATTATAAGAATATCTATAATATTATAAATAATAAAAGTAAAATATCATTATTAAGAATAAATATAAATAAATGATTGCTAAGGTAGGAGTCACTCATGCAGAAACCTGATCAAAGAAGTGACACCAAATAATTATATTAATAATATTAATTTAAAAATGATAATAATAAAAATAAAAAATATTCATAAATAGAGCCAAAGTAACTTATAATTTTTTATGCGGTAATTTCTTATAATTTTTTATGCGGTAGTGGTGTAGTGGTAGAGCGCTCGCTTCATAAACGAGTGGTTCCGAGTTCGATCCCCACCACGTCCCTGGTAGTACCGCGCTCAACTCGTTTCTCTGCGCAGCGGCCTTGTTCGTCAAGGTTCGTGTTTCGGAGTTATAGAGCTGAGAGAGGGTTATAGCCACAAAATAAGTAGCCTCCTCGTCTGTAGTGGCCTTCTCGGCCTTGAGGAGGTGAAGTAAAATAAAAAAAAAAAATAAATAAAAAACTGCAAAAATAATTTAGTACAATTATAATAATAATATTAATAATAAAAATAGCAGTAATGAAAAAAATAAATAATAATGACAGAAACAATAAGGTTTCTATAAAAATAGTAAAAAGAAAAAGTAAAATAAAAAAACTAAAAAAAAGTTAATAATGATAAAAATATTAAAATAAATTTTCTTTAGAACTTGTTTGAATTTATTTTGTTTTAAATAAAGAAATGAAGATAAATTATTTTTAAGATTTAATTTTTCCAACTCATTCACAATGCACACAAGACTTTGATTCCATTCACTGATGTGTAATTAAATACTTACCATACCTCAAAGTTTTATAGGGAGGTACATTAGGCAAGCATGTCTTCTTCATGACCAGTTTAGTATTGTAAATATTATAAATGCCAAAAACAATTTTTTTGTTACAACCTGTCAACAGTTTTACTTAAAAACACATTTCAATAAAAAGCCACTGCATGCAGAAATAACTTAAAAGGGTATAAATGCACATACATTGACATACAAATTATCAATTTTAAAAACAACAATTTACATATATGGCATGATGTATGACAGTAAAACATCTGTGTCTGGAAATAACAAGCAAGATGATGATCATGTAGATTTGTAGGGTGAGTCTAAAAAAACAGAAAAAGATAGTTTGAGAATAGGTAATGTATCTGATAGAGCTTGTCATAAAAAGGCTGAATGGTTTTTATTTGTAGAGCATAAAGATGATTGGGTATAATTACTTTTTTTCTAATAAATTGATGTTGAAGCATGTGACAGCAAAAAGGAGTGACAGCAAGGACAGCACAAAAATAATCAAACTTAACAAAGAAAAATAAGCAAGACTGTAAGTAATAAGTAATAAGCAAGTAATAATAATAAGTAATAAGCAAGACTGTAAGTGACTAACAGACATGTATGTCATAGTGCAGATAGATTAAAATTGTTGCTCAAATTAAAAAATTCTCACTGATCCCCTAACAATCTGAAAAAGAGATTGTCACATTTAATCAGCATCAGCTCCCTGCCACACATCTTTATTTTATTAAACACAGGTTTAATCAGCATTAAGCTGCGAATAATTAGAAAGAATAAATATTTTCATATTATTAGTATGTTTTATTCTATTCAGATGACTAAAATTTAGTGAGCGACAACTTTAGCGCTACTTAACTCCCCCCCCCTGTTTTTATGATTATGATAGAATACATTATACTGATTCAGAATCATTAAAACATGGGTCTGAATATTTGAGTAAAGTACTTTAATTAGATGTTAAAGTATAAAAAACCACATTAAAAATGCAAATATTCTACTATCTTTTTAACAATCACCGAGATAAGTTCCAACATGCATTAGTGCAAAATACTTACTAAGACTCGTCTAAACTCAATTATAAAAAAAGCACAAAAATGAAGTGAGTTTGTTAGTAGTTTATCTTTAATTAACCACTTCCACAATTGAAGCTAACAGTAGATTTATTTCACTGTAGGTGAACATATTTCAATGTAATTTATACAAAATGAATTATGTGCATATACCTGCTTACTTTTTAACTAGCCTCTGCAAATAACTCGAAATATAGGACCTGACAGAACTTTTTTACTAATAAAATTAGATTTAAATATCTTGAAAAATGATCAAAAATATGAGTCCCACTTTATTGGTGTCTAAATTAAAAAGTTAACAATTAATTAAATACTATTGAAATTAATTACAATTAATAGTGTGAGTTTAACATATATTTGTTAATATTGCTTATATACAAATGAGCATATAGCACAGGAGAATAACAAATAAGCACAGAAGTGTTGTAAAAATCATTTTTAACCTGTTTAAAAATCATTTTTAATCTGTTTAATTACATAGGCAAAAAGGAAGACGTAAATCATTAAATAAAAACTAGCAATATTACTTAGATTTGTTTTAAAATGACATTAGAGTCATTTTTAGATTAAACAAATGAATAACAGATAACTCTTAATAGAAACTGTACTGTATTGCCATATACATGATAAAATAATGCTTCACCATAAAATAAATTATCAAAACATTAAAAAATTATTTAAAAAATGGTTTCTATTGAGTTATTTTTGACATCAATAGTTCAAATGTTTTTTCGAAACAAAAAGAGAGTTAAATTTTCTTAAATATAAAAGAAATAAAATGATTTATTTCTGGATACAAAATACTCCATTACTATACAGAAAATGTTATATTGAATAATATTTAACGCTTTATAAATTTGATATTTGATAACCTACCGCAGCATCACCCATGGTTGATAAAAGTTTATTTGCAGTTTAGACCGACGTGACTGTCAAGAAGAGAGATTCGAAATGTGATTTCCATGTAGAATGAGGGGAAAAAAATTACAGATACAGTCTTGAAGTTAAGAAAAAAGCTCTAAAATATAGATTTTTAATTAAATTATTATAAATAAATTGCTACTTCGTCACTTTACTTAAATAATTTATTTTTGTAATTCAGGGGGTATAATTATTTTTTTAAATAATAAAAATGCTAAAGTTTAGTAAACATCATTAATGATTTAAATAAATTAATATAAAAAATAAATTCAAAATTTATTTAATAGTATTTTTTTTTTTTTTAAATATAAAAATATTCTATAAATAAAAAAGTTTAGAATGTCTTATCTACCTGAAATTAGGAAAATTTAAAATCATTTTAACCGCCATTCAAAATCGAATGTAAGTTGTTATTGTCGGCACTTAAAACCAGTAAAACATTTTGCTTATCTTTAGTTGAATTGATTAGTGTCAGTGTTTTCGAGCATGAATTGCAACTTACCTACTTCAATTTTTTTCGTCTATTAGACACGTGTTCAATTTTCATTTGTTACTTTTCTACTCTCTATCACATGGATTAATTATTATTCCAAATTAACAACTTTCTTTAAATAAAACTTGAATTTCAGTGGCATCAGACTCCCCTCCCCCCCCACACACACACACAACTTTTTTAACTATTATTCTATATTAACAACATTTTTTTGATAAAATTTGAATTTCAGTGGCATCTGATCTCTCCCCCCCCTCTAACTCCTTGCAGGCGCAATAAGGACAGAATGAAGAGAAATCCCGAAGTATCTCCGTAAACTCAAATTCACTGATCTCAAAATAATAACTCAAAATAATAGTTATTATTTTGAGATCAGTGACTCAAATTATGGTAATAAAACTTACTATTCGTAACAAAAATCATTAGTTTTTAACATCATTATTTTGTTTAACTTATATAATTTCAATTATTTTTATTGATGTGTTGTGATTTTATGTTTATGTAGATTTGAAAGCTGTTATCATCAGAAAAATTATCATTGTCATATTGTTAGAAAAAGATTTAATTTTTAGAGACCATCATTTATTTTTTAGGGAATATTATTTACGGGCAGTGCGATCAATTTGCTTTTTAATATTTTGATTGTAAAATTTTTATATCTAATAAAAATCGGAATAAATAACCTTAAAATGGACGTCTCTATAGCATTTTTCTGATTTTATTAAAAACCAGAAAAATGTTGGATGGTCTAGATACAATCCAATATGTGTAACCTTGCCTAAAAAGATTTTTTTTTTTTTTTTTTTTTTTTTAATGCAGTAAAAGTTGATTAGACCTACCTGAACGAATTACCTCTAAGAAACGGATTTTTTTTGTCTAATATAAAAATCTAAAAAAACGCAAAGTAATTAAAAAGATAAATGCAACATAGTTTTAATGATAACTAGTATCTTTATTTTATATTAGTGGGCAATCTTTTTAAAAAATTAACGTATATGAATATGATTTTCAGTTGTTATAAATAAAATTTACATGATGTAATAGTGTTACTGTAGTACTTCGTTAATAATCTCAACATCCGATTGATCGAATGGTCTTAATACCTAAATGTTCAATCAATTCAAATGATCAATCACAACAGCATTTCAAATTTCAACATCAACATCCGATTGATCAAATGGTCTCAATACCCGATTGGTTGAATGGTCTCAACATCCGCTTGGTCGAAACTTTTTTAGCTACTTCGCACTAATAACCGAAAATTTTAATTTTGTGCGAAAAATACAAACAAGCATTTTATAAAAAATCTTTGCGTTAAGAATATTGGTTGCCTTTATTTATTTATTTTTTAATATATTTTGCTGTTTATATAAAAATAAAATAATAAAATTGCAATGAAACTTTTACATTAGAAAAAGAATATATATAAAACAGATAGGGGCTCAAACAAGATAAGGATGACTGGTGTCACCACAATCTTTTTATAGAGCCCCTTTATCATTTAATATATATATATATATATATATATATATATATATATATATATATATATATATATATATATATATATATATAATAATATCATTTAATCCCCACATGGCTTTAGAAAATTTACAATAGAATATTTTATCTGTTAAATACTACGTGAAGAATAAAGAAAAACTCATATATACATATATACTCAAATATACATATACCCATAAAAACACACGCATATACAAACATACTTACATATATGCCAGAAATTAAGGAGATGCAGTTTCATTTGTCGTTTAAAAGTGCTTTTCAAATTTTTTGTATTTATATTTTTTAATTGATTCCATAATGACGGACCTTGGCTAATAATTGAGAATTTCGACACTTGCATTTATGTTTTGCACTTTATGCATATATTTAAAACTATTTGTTGTTATTTTTAAAACTATTTGTTGTTATTTTGTTACTATACAAACTTGGTTTATATACAAGTTTAAGCAGCCGTGGAATAGTGGTTAGAGTTCTGGATCAGAACCAAGAAATTTAAGGTTTGATGACGAAGTTAAAATTTTCATTTCTCAACATTTTAGTTTCGTAATTCATTTTATTTGTAAAAAAAAAAAAAGAACTGAATCAAATTTTGTTTTTATCTATGATATGTTTTCAATGTTTACTATTGATTAACTTTTTTTACTATAGGATAAATATTGGTTTTATCTTTGAAATTTTTTTCTTATTTTTTAAAATCATCTTTTTTTTTTCTTATTTCTTAAAATCATCTTTTTTTTTTTTTTAGCTTAAATACTTTTTGGAGCGTGTTTTTAATTAATCTATAGCAGGGGTGAGCAAGTTTGATTAAAAAGAGCCAAATTTTAGATTTTTTATTGTATATGAGAGCCGCAGAAGGGGGGGGGGTTCTTCTTATCTACTCCAATAAAAAATAATTATTATGTTTATATATTTATATTTAACTACATGATTTTAATTTACAAAGTTGACAAGAAAAATAATAATTTTAACAAGTATAAATGTGTTTAATTAATATAATACAAATGTCGTCGCGCCGACTTGCAACTAAAATCTAGAGTATTCAATTTTATTTTAATGTAAATATTTGTTATAAAAATATTTTTAAAAAATTAAATCTGAAAAATAAATATAATAGTACAAAAAGCAGAAATTGATAAATTTAGCGGAAGCCACACATAAATTGCCCACCCCTGATCTATAGCGTATTATAAGATTATCGAGCAAATGTAACTAATGAAGAAACCTGGTTTATAATAGTTTGACAAAATAGGCCGGGTTAATAAAAAAACACAACTGCTTTACTCAGGAGTAATTGCTTAGCTTTATGTGAATAAAGATTTTAACTATTTTCCTCAAGTTTTTATTCAAGTAAAGCTGTACAATTTACTCTGAGTAATTGTTCAGCTTTAAGTGAATAAGACTTTTAATGACTTTCATCAAGTTTTTGTTCACGTAAAGCTGAGAAGTTACTACAAAAACGCTGAGTAAAAACAATTGTTTTTTTATATTTACCCGGCCTAATTACTCGTATAATAATACAGTTAAAAATTTTTTACTCCGTTTGATTTAAAGCAATTTGAGGAAATGAATGGCTTTAGAGTATTAGGTAACTAAAAAAAAAGAAAAAACTTTCCCCAGCACTTAGGGGCAGATCTAGTATTTTTCGTCGTTGAGATAGCTAACTTCCAGACATGGAGCAAGCTCCAAATATTTAAAGGTTTATAATTATGTGAAATAAGGATGCTTTGCAAAAAATTGCGATGATTGGAGGCTGGGAACAAAAAAGCCCCAAAAACTTAAAATTGAAGTAACCCTGATGGGCATTTAAAACTTTTGAGTTGAAAACTAAACACAGAGCGGCTACAATTAATCGAAAAAAGAAATCACAAATAATTTAAATTATAAAAATAAGATACAGTTTAGTTTAACAATATTTGAAACTGAAGTTGTGTTGACAGACTTTAGTTAAACGTCGCTCGCTGACGTTAAATTTGGCGTAGACTAGATGACGTAAGATAAATTTACAACTATGAGTTAATAATCTAATGCAAAAACAAATTAGATTTTGAAATTCCACGATAATATGAGTGCCTGCTCTTGTAAAATTTAATCATTTTCATAACTACAAGAAATTTCTTTGTTTTTATTTAGTCATACATAGTGAAAGTTTTGATATTTTTACTACGTATGACTAAATAAAAACAAAGAAATATATATAGCCGATTTCGCTTCTTTTCTTTTGTATAAGCTTTTTTTTTTTTATAAACGGTTATTAATGTGTAATAGGGAAAAAAAAATGGGATCGGGGTCAAGGTTATATGGGGTTATAGTGTCATTAAATGGAGTTATATAAAATTAATTTTAATACAAACAATTATTTAAAATCATAATATAAATAAGTCATTCATAGTTAACATTATTCATAGTTACTACTTATAAAATTAATAAAAATAAAATTTGTTTTTTTAAAGATCGGAGTTATTTAAAACGAGTAACTCATTCAAAGTAAGTTAATGTTTTAAATTTCTTAAAAAATTTAATTTTGAAAAAAATATAACGACAATTAAAATAAAAATTCATAATAAAAATGGCAGAAGATCCAGTCAAAGTTAATATTAGATCTAACAAATTGATTTTCCAGGAATAAACTCGCACTCAACTTCGTTTTACATCAATATTTGCACAAGGCAGTCAATTAGCATTTAGTTGCAACATCAACCAACGTCTAAAATTAAAAACTTCGTCACCATATCTGCTTTTTAAACACACAAACTTCGTCACCAGATCTGCTTTTTAAACACAAATTTTGATTAAAGACTTCAAAAATAGTTTTTGAAAATATTTTGTTTGATATTTTCATAATTTTCAATTGGTTAAATTCAACGCCGTACCAACAAACTTATTAGCATCGTTTAAAACAACGTTGTTTTCCACAAATGAAAACTATTTATTTAAGATAATTTGGTAAATTTTCCTTGCACAAAAATTCTAGGTACATCTATACCTTCTTTTTTATTTATTGTTCTTCGATGTATGTATGTATTTTCAACAACTTCGTAACCACATGATGTAAATAACTCAAATAACTTATCTAATTTTTTAATAATAATAATATAATCAATAAATATCAAAAATTATATAAAATTCTATATATTTTTGTAAAAAATTATATCTTTATAAAATAAATTACCTGTTGAAAAGTAATAGGCGCGAGTTCCGTCCTGCCTTACATAAAACCTATCATCAAGTTTATGGCCAGGCCCAAATCGTAACATTGCATGATCATATAGACCATAGTCACGAAATAATACTATTCCACCTGGCTTAAGTACCTAAATAATACATACATACATACATAGACACATGCACACACACAGATTTTATAACAAGAGAAAGATTTTTACACTAGAAAAAGTAAAAAGAATTTCTTTTAACATTTTTTTAATTTTAATTTAACTTTTTGCAGTGTTAATACAAAGTTGTATTAATCAATTGAAATTAAATTTAGATATTTTTATCCCCAAAACTTTGTGGTACATAAATACTTGTTTACTTATTATAAATACTTATATATCAACATAAACACTTGTTTATTCAAAATATAAATATCTTAAAACTACATTAAAACTACAAAATTATTTACTGCGATAAAGTTTTTGAATTGTTTTAGAAATAGTTTAAAGAAAATGGAATCAGTTAAAAAATATATATTTGTACAATTAAGTTACAATGGTTTTCATGATAAGATTAATAGCTACGGCTTTGTGATATGTTTAACAGCTATGGCTGGCATTTTGAATTTAAAAAATTTAGATACTAATGATTCTTACAAGAAATTCGTCAATATTTATAATAGAGAACATTAATATTTTATTACAACAATTACAAATAAAAATGTAAAAAAAAAAAGAAAAAAAAAAGTAAAAATTAACTCATGAAATGTAAAAGGCAATATTGAGCCTAACTATTTATAATTAGCAAATTTTTGAAAAATTAATTTTAAAGTTTTTAAAGCTCATTTTTCATCAAGGAAAACAATAATAATTAACCATTTTAAAAATAAAAACAAACATATGTGATGACCCTCACCATAAATAAACATATGAGATGACCCTCACGATAATCAAACATATGTGATGATCCTCACTATAAACAAACATATGTGTTGACCCTAAATTTTTACCAGAAAAAATATCAATAAAAGTTACTTAATCCAACTAAAAGTACAGGAGAAGATGGATTTCACTCTTAATCCTTAAAGAACTGTGTGGCACTTTTACTTTTTTTGTCACTTATTTTTAATCAATCATATAATAATATGGTTAAATTTAAATATAATGATACTATCCAAAAGCGGAGGTAAATCAAATCCAGCAAGCGTCCAACAAGTATCATTTATGTCAATTATAAGAAAAGTAATGGAATGTATTTTAAAAGCTTTAAAATACATTCCATTTAAGTTGTATCTACAAAAAATCTTATGTTTAAGGAACATCATGGATTTATTAGTAAAAAATTTTTTTGTACAAACCTTCTGGAATCTGTAAATTAACACATACATTAGAACAAAAATTAGCAGTAGATATTGTATTCTTAATTATATCAAAAAATTACGATTCTGTGCCACATAACAGAATCTTAAACTAAAAAGTATGTGGTATACAAAATAAAGCATTTAGATGGTGTAGACATTTTTGTGTAAAAGATTTCAACGTGTTGTTTTTAATAGTTTTCAAATTAGTATCCAGTTACAAATATGCAATAAACCATAATTACAAAATGGTTCATACATCATCAAATTAACATTATATTAATTGCTAAGAAAATGACGAAAAGAATCCCAGTCAGCCTAAGGGTAGTAGTAAGATGATAGTGCAATGTAGTGAGATGATAAGATGAGTCCGAAGAAGAGGTGTGAGATTTAAAATTTAAAGAGATCATTGCATAGTCAAAAAGATTGATCATTGCATTAGGAACCACCTAAGGAAGAAAAAGTAATATACAATAGTAATATACAAAAGTAATATACATAATAATAGACAAGATACAAATCAAGGAGTAAAGTTAAGTGATCAGGGTTGTCCGGAAAATGAGTCACTAAATTAACTACCTGAGTAAAAGATTAAGAAATGCAGAAGTTGTGGGCTTTAGTGCCAGAGGGTCAGTAGTGTAGTAGTGTTAGAACCTCTGAGGGTCAGTGGTGTTAAAACTATTTAGTGTTATGAGCATTAAAGTCAACAACAATATTGGCAGAGGGGTAAAGAGAAAAGATATGAACAATTTGATCAGAAATTTAAAAGAGTGTAGTCTTGAGAAGAAGGAAAACGATAAAGAACAAAGAGAAAGGTGAAGAGGTGCTAAAGGTGATATAGTGAAGAGGTGCTAAAGGTGATATAGTGAAGAGGTGCTAAAGGTGATATAGTGAAGAGGTGCTAAAGGTGATATAGTGAAGAGGTGCTAAAGGTGATATAGTGAAGAGGTGCTAAAGGTGATATAGTGAAGAGGTGCTAAAGGTGATATAGTGAAGAGGTGCTAAAGGTGATACAGTGAAGAGGTGCTAAAGGTGATATAGTGAAGAGGTGCTAAAGGTGATATAGTGAAGAGGTGCTAAAGGTGATATAGTGAAGAGGTGCTAAGCAGAAGCACAAAGAAAATAATGATCAAAGAATTCAAACCTGATTTCACGACAAACAGATGAATTGATGTGCATGTAAACCCCCAAGTAAAGCTTGTGACTATTGGAGTCTTTGCGAATAAAGAGTGCAAAAAAAAGCAAACAAGATTCAGAAGCAGTTTTTACAAATGTTAATAGTAATATATAATAAATATATTAGTATATATAATAATATAATAATCTTTAGCCTAATATTCAAATATGACTTTTATTAGAAAATCTTTATTTAACAGAATTTATTGAAAATATTTAATAAAATAAGCTCAAACATTATCTAAAATCCATCAGTCAACTTCTTTTTTTAAATTGTTTTTATCTAAAATGTATCAGTCAAATTCCTATTTATAATTGTTTATAATTGCAGTTACTCTACCACCAATGTAATTTCAAGCAGACTTACCATAGCTTGCAACCACTATTAGTTGTAACCACCATAGGTTGTAGCAAAAAAATAACCCATAAAGAATGTTTTTCATAATGTAATTGATAATGAGCTGTTGTATTTTATAAACAAAATATACTTTATATTTGGTTGGTGTTATCAGAAAATAACTTCAATATCAGTACAACATTTGCTTTATTGTTTATAATAATACAATGATGTGCACATATCCATTTATTCTAGTGGTAACTTAGCACCTCATCCTAACAAAAAGTTGGAAGTAGAGTGAAAAGTAATACTATGACTCATTGAACATAATAACTCGTTAGTTAGCCAGGGTGTTAAAATTTAATGATCTTTTTCTTTTTAATGAAGTAATAAAACAATTTTAATAGAAATTCACAATATTTTGTAAAACAATAACAATAAACGTTCCAAATATCCAAAAAACCTAGTAAAAAATATATTCCCAGCTAATGTGTTTTAGCTTGACTTTTAGTAATAAGTAAATGTTTATATTTTTTAAACATATAAATTAAATAAATACTTCAATAATAATTTTTTGATTGAACAGTGTAGTTTTTTTATATATACTATTATGTATTCTCCTAATTATATAGCAAATTATAGCAATTATATTACAAAATGTTTTATAAACTAAAAAAAAAAAATATGGATATTACTCTCATAAACCTTTATATAATATAACCATGCTTAAAGAAAACAAGACTTTGTTTTCTTTGAGCTTGGTCTGCTAAATAAAAAAAAGTTGCAACTTTTTTTTATTTAACAGACTCAAAATTGTATTCTATTTACAAAACATCATTTTTAAACTAATTCATGAACAAGTGAAAAAAAAAAGGTTAAAATTTAATTAATAAAATTTAGGGTGAAAGATTGTTTATTGGTAGTGACAATTTGTATATGTGGAAATTAAACACAGAATTATCTGATGGTGATGAAGATGTAAATAAATGGGCTATTGGTTTAAAAATTAAAACAAAAAAATAAAAGCATAAAGTCATAACCATTGCACCATGCTGAGATTTGAATCTACATGAAGAATAGTCATGATTGGTATTTAACCACAGATTATATCTTTAGGAAAATGCTAATAAAACATATCTGCAAATTAGTAAGCTTGGTAGCAAGTTATTCTTATACCTAAATATTAAAATCTTATATTTGTACATAAATGTTAAAATAAGCTCGATATATCAAGAACCTTCATGTATAGGAGAAATTTTAAACCTTCTAATACAGGGGAAATTTTAAAGGGGCGTTAAGTTGATAAAATATTTTTTGTACTATTTTCCACTGAACCTATATTCATCAAAAAAGTTTCATAGTGTTATCTCTCAGTGTTCGAAAATTATTATTATATATTGTTAACAACCCCTCAATTTGAGTGGATTACATATTTTATATGGTCATAATTTTAGAACGCTCAGAGATATTACTATGAAACTTAAAATTTATCGAGGAATATAACTCTAGTTAAAAATAGTATAAAAAAATACTTCATCAACTTGTTGCCCCTCATGTGAGGGGATGAAGTCAAAGGACTTTTTTGTTACCAGCCTCCAATCATTGCAAATTTTTGCAAAGCCTCAAAATATTGCTAAATAACTGTTTAAAATAAAGAACTACTTCTAGGCTCACCAAGTTTCTAGTTTTTATATCAAAAAAACTCTTATGGAAGGCACAATCCATTTAAAGTATTTTTTATCTTAGTTAAAATGAACAAATTGCAAAATTTCTCATCAGAAATTTCAAATTACATAATCAGAAAACTTTAAAGGAGAAACAACTTAACACATTGAGTATGGAAGACCAGTATACTCGTCGAACAAAACTCTCCTTGCATACGGACGAGTATACTCACTTGAGTTTAAATGCTTATAATTTTTTATTCTAAAGGTTTTATTCTCTAAAATTGCTTTTAAATCTTGAATAAAACATTCATCAGTTAAGTTTTTACATGAGTACATATATTTGTCAATATTTAACTTTATCTTTGATTTTAAGTAAGTGCACTTTTTACGGTTTTTATGAGTAAGATATGGTAAATATTCATACTTAAGGTTTTCTTTCAACATTAAAAATTACTGATTTAAAAATAACATTTAAATATAAGTATTATATATCATCTGCATCGAAACTGTTTATTCTTCATGTGTTTCTCCTGTGTTTTGGTGATACAATCAACAGGGATCAATACAAAGAGCTGGTTGGTCAGCGCAATATCTGCAGTATCTTGTATTTTTCTTTACTTG